AAACAAAAAAAAAACGTGAAAATGTACCAAAATAGCATATAATTAGTGTTAGCTGAAATCAGTAATATCTCATAAATTTCTGTTTTCTATTTGACATAAGAGAAGCAAAAAAAGAAACTCTTATTTTGTTGTTTCATAATCTGTTAATTTTTATTCAAAAATACAAGTCTTTTTTTTGTGAATATTCATAAATTTTTGTGCAAAATAATATCATTTTCCTTTGTGCAAGGGAAAATGATATTTAATATCAATGAAAAACTTTTTTTAATAAATATGAAGATAAAGATAAAAAAATTACATTTTTGCAGCCAAAACTTACGAGAAAAATTATTAAAGAAGTTTTTAAACAATATAATTTATTGAAAAAAATTTAAAAATTTTTTCCAAATATTCTGTTGCTCTCTCCATAATTTCGATAAATGAACTTCAACACAATAACTGACCATCTTTCACAAAAAAATTGCAATTAACCATGTTTTTCTAATAGTCAAATGAACAACGAAGATTATACGTTGCCGTTTTTGTGTAGTCTGAACACGCAACTGTAGTATTTATTCTGAGAGACTACTGAAACTGGATACAGATTCCAGCATAATGTAAAGTTTATAATTGAATTTGCTACAATCATCGCAAGAACAACAGCAGTAACAGCTATAATTTTGTTGTTCTTTTTATATACTTTTTTTTTTTTCGTTAAAATCCTGAAAAATATAACAAATGTACAGATATTTTTTTAAAGGTGAGGAAAATAACGGTTTAAGCTTAAAATTGAATCAACAGTCAGTTCCACTAAAACAACAGTAAGACTTCTGCAGCAAATAAATTGTTGTCAGTTGGAGCAGATCAGTGATACAGCAGCAAAATACATTGATACAGTCACTGTTTAAATACAGTATGCAGTTTAGCCCACTGTCGTTTACGCTAAGCACCCAGCTAGTTTGCTTATCATTCATACATCACCAGCTTTATTCAACAAGTTTTAACGATAATTTTTCTTCTCCTCTTTTTTTTCCACTTTTTTCCGTTTATTACTTCTTGCTTTATTCAGATACTGTTTGAAAACATGTTTTATTTATTTATTTATTTATTTTTTTTTGCTTTTCTTAATTATTTTTTTAAATCTACTGTCTTTCCTTTTCACAGCAGTTTGAACAGTATTTTCTTACAGCTTGTAAACTAAGTCAATGCAGCAACTGCATTCACTTTTTATTTGCTTTGAAAAAAACTTAGAAATGATTTGCTAGTGCTTATAAAAAAAAAAAAAAAA